AGAAATGCATAAGTTAATGTATAAATACATAAATAAATGTAGAAAAAAATTAGTATAACACAAATGGTACAAAAATAGCATAATTAAAAATGACAGTTTTGACAAAATTATTTATTTATGCATTCATTCATTTATGCATATCTGCATTTATTTATTTATTTATTTATTTATTTATTTAAGCATTTAATTATTTATTTATTCATTTATGTATTTCAGCATTTATTTATTGATTTATTTCAGCATTTAATTAATTATTTATTTATTTACTTATGTATTTCTACATTTATTTATGTATTTCTATATTTATTTCTTCATATATTTATTTCTTCATTTATTAATTTATGTATTTCTACATTTATTTATTTATTTAATTCTGCATTTACGTATTTATTTATTTATACTTAAGTCATTTCTCGTCCTCCATATATATATATATATATATAATTAAATATATAATATAAAATGAAATATCTAGATGTCAGAATTATATATATATAATAATGTTATAATTAAATAAAATTTCAGAAATTAAACAAATTATAAATAAAAATATATATAATCTAAAAATAAATATGTAATATTACTGTAAGCATTTATTACATATTAATTCTAGAGCTTAGATATATATGTGTTAGAGGTGCGTCGATCTGATTTATTAAAAGCTTATTATTCATTGTTTTTGATTTTAAAATGAATTGAAGCTTAAAATATAACTGCTCATGTAATGAACTAAGGGTATAATTTATATTATATATAAGTCATATAAAATCCATCCTTATAAAAAATGATATATATATATATATGGGTCAAAGACGTTAAGATGTCCGCATCAAAAGAAATTCACAAAAGTGATTTTATGATATTCTAGTGGGTCTCTTCTGTAAATCAGGGGAAAATGTGTGATATTTATTTTTTGCTCAGAAAAACAAAAACAAAATTGCAATTAAATTAAACAGAAAACTTTTAAAAATTTTGGGGGAAAAACAACAATTTAAAGCAGCATTAACCCTTTTTTGTCTTTGACGCATACACACACACACACACACACATATATATATATATATATATGCTTCCACTTTTCCTTAATCCCTCCCTGTCTAGCTTGTCTTAATCTGAACGATGTCTGAAACGTTATATTGCGAGCACTTTTCTGTGATGAATCTCTTGTTGTTTTCCTCAATTGTAAGTCGCTTTGGATAAAAGCGTCTGCTAAATGAATAAATGTAAATGTAGGTCTCTGGGTGAGCGTGAACGCGTCTGACCCTCAGGAAGGGGATGATGTTGTCTTTAGCGATGGCCTGCAGCAGGCGAGGAGCTCCGGTCAGCGATTGGAGGCCCGCGCCACACGTGGAGAAAAATGAGCCAATCACGATCACCCAGGGGGAGGGCCATGAGAGCGTCCCGACCACCAGATTGCCCTTCACCGAGTCTCCGAACCTGAAGCACAGTCAGAGCGTCAGAAACACGACATCTGCATTCCCAGAAGAGAAGACGAGCGACGGCAGGAAGAGACTAACTTGTCTCGCAGAACCACGCCCTCCACACAGGATCCAAACAGCAGCACACAGCTCAGATCTGAGAGAGACGCAGGCTCAGGAAACATCCGACTGTGAGAATGAACTGAACTCGATTCGAGCGTCTTCCTCAGATTCTTTATTAACGCAAAACATCCAGTCAGACTGATCAATGATATTATTGCATGAAGGGGTTTGTGAGTTGATGAACAGTTGAGAGTTAATTTAATTATAAAAATGTAAAGTTGTTTGCTTTTGTGCCTGTTTTAGAAGTTGCTTTGGATAAAGGCGTCTGCATGCATGCATGTAAAATATAAATATTCAATTAAAATAATTATAAATATAAAAATACTATTACAAATTATTTTAATACTTAAATGTAGAATAATTAATAAATTATCATATAAATAAATAATTTAAATAATAAAACATTTTAAATAATCAAAATAAATATTTGATTTGTTTTCCTGCATGTCATGTGACATAGGTGAATGTGTTGATAAATTAGTGAAATATTAACTTAAATTATTAGAAATATTTAAATAAATAATATATATTAAATATTTAAATAACAAAGTAAATATTTTAGGGCAAAGAAGCTGATAATTAATAAAGGGGCTGACTATTATTATTAAATATCGTCATTATTTGAGCCCGAATGAGAGAGCTCTGTCTCGTCCTCACGTGTGTGTGTGTGTGTGTGTGAGTGTGTGTGTGAGTGTGAGAGTG